ACTTCCAGGGATGGGGCATCCACAGCTTCTCTGAGCAGCCTGTCCCAGTGCTCCCCACCCTCTCCATGCCAACTGTATAAAAACAATCTAGCAGTGGAAATAGAGCAGCAAAATCGCTAGCGGTTGGACCTGAGCACAGCACGTCAGGAGCTGGGTTTGCTGTCCGTGTCTCTCCTGTGGCGTGTTCAGCGCTGTGGGTTCAGGTCGGCCCTCGACGGTGGCTAGCAGGGTCAGTAGGATTGAGACGTGGCTCGAGAGAGAGCCCTTCCCTGAAGAAGGGGAGAGCCAGTGAGGGGTTTGGAAGTTGAGTGGCGTGGGGGCTGTTCTGAAAGGGCCAGTTTACCTAAGTAACACTCTTGTCGTTTTCTTCCTTTTTTTCCTAGGCATGCCTCCCATTCGGGACTTGGTGAGCCACTCCCCTAACCAGTCAGGTTAGCTATCCACATCTCGCCTCTTTGCACTCTGTGTTTGTCGTAGCTACATGTTTCACACAACTTTGTCTGATTTTTTTTTTTTTAATTATTATTTTTTATTCTTTGCCTTCCATTTTTCAGTAGCATGTGCTGTGTGAATGACAGTGTGCTGGGTTTAGTCAGGAGCTGAGCCACAGCGTAAGGATACCTCCTCTGGGCCACTGCATACACCATTTGGTTAAACACTTTTGATTTTCTAAAATACATGAGAATTCATACCCAACAAAGATGTCCCGATGGCGGCACCTTACCTTTAAAAGACTACCTGATTTTTGCCTTTGTGCACACCCGTTAAGTTGCCTCTCTGTGGCGTAAAGTGAATAATCACTGCAAGCCCGTTGCCTCATGTCAGCGCCGGGGAGGAAGTCGCGTCTGGGGCTCCACCGAGTGTGTGCTGGGGCTGTTCCCTGCTGGCTCTGACCGTGAACGACACTGGCCGCTCGTTTGATGTAGTGTTTTGGAGGGCGCGTGCTGGGTGCCGTGGTGTGGGTGACGCCGGCGGCACCGCGGGCTGGTTGTGCTGGCTGTGCCGTGTCCCCGTCGGGCTGCTGTGGGCACGCCGCGTGTTGCGTCTCCTGTTTGCCTGGAAGGCCGCTCTCTGAGCGGTGATGCTAACCCTCCTCCCTTCCCCCATGTTGTGTGTGTCCTGGCGAGTCAGTGCAGCTTCTGCCTGCGGTGGGAGACTGTCGGAGGCTCCTCTTTCCCGGGCTGGGCGAGCTGTCCTGACGCTGCCGGGTGTTGGCTCTGGCACAGGCCAGGGCCAGAGCTCCTGCTGGAAGTCAAGGGGGGAGAGAGCGGGCAGCACAGTCCCTTCGAGGAGAGCTGCCAGTTGAATCATAGAATCACAGAATGGTTTGGGTTGGAAGGGACCTTAAAGATCATCTAGTTCCAACCCCCCTGCCATGGGCAGGGACACCTTGCACTAGACCAGGTTGCTCAAAGCCACATCCAGCCTGGCCTTGAAGACATCCAGGGATGGGGCATCCACAACATCTCTGGGCAACCTGTTCCAGTACCTCCCCACCCTCTCTGTGAAGAATTTCTTCCTGATATCTAATCTAAACCTCCCTGATTTCAATTTATACCCATTACCCCTTGTCCTATCACTACAGGCTCTTGTAAAAAGTCCTCTCCCAGCCCCCCTGTAGGCCCCCTCCAGGTACTGGAAAGCTGCAATGAGGTCTCCTCGGAGCCTCCTCTTCTCCAGGCTGAACAAGCTGAGCTGGGTTAGGGGCCGAGGGACGCTGAATCCTTGTCCTGGCAGCTTTCCTGTCCTGCAGCAGCAGTTAGGAAACCGTTGCAGCCACGGGCAGACAGCGACCCCTGCTAATGCTTGGGTTGGGGTACCTTCAGAAGGCACGGACAGGCTTCAAGACCTTTACTGCAGAAAAACGGATATGCGATCTGTTAACAGGTTTGGGGTTTGTCGTTTGATAATGAAGGTGCTTTCAGCTTCTTTACTAAGATGCATTTCCTCATCAGTAACTGGGAAGGGAGGACATGAACAGTCTGTGGGTACTGGTCTGTGCTGGAACTGGGAAAGGAGACGGAGGGAGGAAGATTCCTGTCTCAGCCCCGCTGTTTATTTCAGGCCGTGGGATGGTGCTTTGAAACAAACACACATGTTTGAGAAAATATGAGATAATACATGCAGTTTCCCACAGGGATAACTCGGAGCTAGAAGGCATCAAACTATTAAATCACCAGGTACTGAAAAAGACGTAGTAGATCAGGGTATTTGCAGAGTTGGGTTTAAGCAGTGAAAGTTCAGTTGCAGCTCCTAACTAGTTTGGGGAGAAAACCAAGAAATTTGGCTGCTGCTGGCTGGTTTTGCTGGGCACAGTGTGATACGTCAGCTCTAAGTTTCCAGTTTTGAGGGTGTGTTGGTGGCATCTGCCGGATGTGAGAAGTCGGAGGTGATACCATGTTCGTTCAGATTTCTGTGCTTAGTCTCGGACGTCCCTGCGTTGTGGAGGTTCAGGTAGGAATGTTTCGCCGCAGCGGCTTGTAGCAGAAATCACCAACACGCTTCTGTGTCCAGCGCTGTTAGTCAGAGTCGTTGTGTCTGTAAGGGGATAAAATTCTGGATGTCTGGAAATTAATTATCCTGTGCTGTGTATTGGCTCGTACAAACTGCGTATCACATCTAAATTGGTCTAGAGGAATTTCAGTAAAAGCAGGCTTTCTCTTTATCCCGTTGCTGTGCAAATTGGCGTTTGTTTACCGTTTCACTCTGCTCTGGTCACAACCCCTCTCTCTTTCTCCACACAGAATTCAGGCTGTTTGCCATCTCTCTACTTTTGTGTTGTTTTTAGAACTGACCATGGTATTGGAATAATGTTTATGTAGTCAAGATTTTGGTTTGCTAGGGCAGCTTTTGATGCTGCTGATTCTCTTGTTCATGGGGCTGCAGACAACCTTTAACTCTTAATTAGCCTTTTAATGTAGGTTAAATGTCATTTATTAGTGTGGGATTTGGAGTCTGTGTTGTCAGACGGTTGCTCAGACGCTAGAGTGTCTTTTTTCGGGGACACACCGGTTCTGGGTTATGCTCAGCTGAACGAGTGTCTTCCAGTTCTCCCCAGGATGCTGTGTGGTTCCCCCACTTGAGACCGTGGAGCTGCTGGACACTTCTAACCATTGCAGCCCTATTTCTGCTTGCGGGTCTCTTTCCACTACTCCCTGTTCCAAACTGCTGTGCCAGCATCCTTTTCTCTCGTGCTCTGGTTCCTGGAGAAGCTTAACTGACTGCTCCAACTGCCTCAAGCTTCCGTCGTGCTGGGTGGTGGAGGAGCAGCGTGCGATCCCTGCTCTGTGCCGCTCCAGGCTACGTGCTCCTGGGGGCAGGCTCTTTGGCTGGACTCTTTTTCACTGTAGGATAAATCGTGTCGATATTGGTTTAAAAATCAATTAAAGAGACACCCAAACGTTTTGTACATCAGTGTAAACTGTCCACAGCAACTTCCATTTAACCTTTCTTGATTTGTTCCTTCCTGCTTCCTGCAGATCATCAAGATCAGAAATTTAAATAACGTTGTTTTAAGAGTGAGCAGTTTTAATGGAGTCGCTGCTACTCAGTTGCTTGTTACTGAGCCGCAGGCGGGGTTGGTGGGCAGGGGGGCTTCGGAGCCGGGGCAGAGCTGGCGGGAGGGAGAAGCTGGTGGGGCTGGCAGCATCCTTGCAGACTTCACAGAAACAGCGGAGACTCAGCAATCAGTGCTGTAGTTTAAAAGGAACGAGTCCCTCGGTGTTCCTTAGGCAGCTTTTGAGAAGGATAGGGTTGGTAATGGAAGCGCTTTGTCCTAGCAGCGCTGTCTGTGAAGGTGGGAGGCAAAGCAACCGCGTCTTTTCCTAGTGGGATGTCAGGCATGTCCTGTGGAAACCCAGTAAGAGTGAGCAGGAGCTGTAACACCTCCCTCTTATCTTTAGGTCCATACATTTTAAATATTCTAAGTGAAGGCAAAAAGGGGAACATTACACAGCAAAGATTCTTTTAAAAACCCGAGAGTTACATGGACGGAGAAGCGTCAGTGCAGCGCGGGGCAGACCCTCCTGCGGGTGGTGCTTCAGTTCAGGCAAGTCCCACGACAAAAACGTCACTGGTGCTCTGTCACCAACTCTGTGCCTGTTTCCCACGTGCTCGGCACTTGGGCAGTCTGATGTCCTGGCGCGCCTGCCTGGCTGAGCCTGGAGCGAGCGCCGGGGGGTGTCTGCAGGACAGCTTTCCACGTGGGAGATGGAAACTGATAGCACTTGTTGTGGAGCAAATGCCCACTGATGTGTGTGTTGTTTAACCCTGAGACGTCCTTGAGTGAGTTAGGGTGCGTGTTGTCCTGACTCCCAGAGGTGGTCAGTGTATTTACTGGAAGGAACAGTGGTTTGTGTATAAACACAAGTACCAGTCCAGGGACTGCGCGGTCGGTACTTCTGCAGCAGCAGAACTTGGATCAGTCCTGTGGGGTGTGCGTCCGATTGTTGCGCAGAAGAAAGTGTCTTAAATAACTCGTGCTTAAGCAATCCTCCCTAACGTCTTTTGGGGGTTGGGGGGGTCTTTCTCTGGCTGTTGTCACATAGCGATGGGTACTGCTAGGCCAGCCTAGGATCCTGCTTGGATTTCTGCCTTTCAGAGTGTCTTTGGTTTTGCACAGTGGTTTGACTATGCATACGTTGTCACAAAATAACCTTGTCTAAGGTGATAGGGTATTTTTTAAAACCCCGTTTCTCTGGAAGAAAGAACCGTACCTTTAGGAGTGCTTCTTCGTGCTTCTGGGGGCGCCGCTTTGCATGCTGGCGGGCAGCGTTCTAGGCTGTGCGTGTGGCTGTTCTGAGCAGCTGGGCTTGGAGGCTTCCTCTGTCCTCTTCACTGACCCAAGTGTGAAAATAAGCAGAGTAATCCCTGGCTTAGTACCTTTATGCCTTTTATTTCCCCTCTCTTCTGCTTAATGACGTAATAATTATAGTAATGCTCTTGGACTTTCCTTCTTCCCTTTAGATCTGAACCACAGTGGTCTAGGATCCCATTATGAAAATTCTCACTGGGGACCAGTCTCTTCAAGTAGTGACTCCAGCACAAACTGGGACAAAGTTATTGTAGACGGCTCTGACAAAGAAGCATGGCCATCAATCACTGGCAGTGACCCAGAGCTGACATCAGAATGTATGGACACTGACTCTGCCTCTAGCTCTGGGTCAGAGAGGAACCTCGTTATCATGGCTTCAGGGAGCACAGGAGGTGAAAGCGATGGCATTCGGAATGGCGTTGGACATGGTTCTCAAAATAAGTTTGTGGTTGGTAGCAACAGCAATAATGTGGGCAGTGGAAGTATTAATGGGCCGTGGGGTTTAGCCCATGGAACCATAATAAGCACATGTCAAGTTTCTGTGGATGCTCCTGACAGCAAATCTGAAAGTAGCAACAATAGAATGAATGCTTGGGGCACCATAAGCTCTTCATCAAATGGAGGGTTAAATCCAAGCACTTTGAATTCAAATGGCAACCATGGTGCCTGGCCGGTGTTGGACAACAACGGACATGCCCTGAAAGGGTCCGTAGGGAGTGGTAATCCTGGCACGAGTGTCCCGTGCAGTACCATAGGTCAGATGTCTAACAGTCAGAGTATTAACTCTAAAGTGGGTGGTTCAGCCCATATTTCCTGGGGAAGCCTTCAGGAGAATTGTGATTCTGAAGGAAATGGTACAAGGAAGGTTTCATTCAGTGGGCAACCTCAAAACCTTAACACTGAAATGAATGGACCAAATAACACTACTAACTTTATGACCTCTAGTTTACCAAACTCCGCTGGTTCAGCGCAGATTAACGAACTGCCTAATAATACAGGGCACGGGGCCTGGCGTGTGAGCACAATGAATCATTCTCAGATTCAGGCCTCTCCAGTTACCAACGGCACTCCCATCTCCCACCTTAGCAACGGTGAGGCGAAAAGCGGTGGATCTTACGGTACTACATGGGGTGCCTATGGCTCTGGCTACTCTGGAGACAAATGTGCAGGCCCGAACAGCCAAGCTAATGGCGACACTGTGAATGCAACTCTAATGCAGCCAGGCGTTAGCGGGCCCGGCGGCGCTAACTTTCAAATCAACGGGAATAAAGGAGGAGGGGTGTGGGAGGCAGAGGCAGGCAATTCCCAGAACATGCCGTGGGGAAGCGGAAATGGCGCGAGTGCTGGCGGGAGCAGAAGAGGATGGGGCAACCCCGCTCAGAACAGCGGCACGAACGTTGCCAACGGAGAATGGAGTAAACTGCCTAGCAATCAGCATTCCAGCGAAAGCGCGAACGGAAACAGCCGCAAGTTCACCAACGGGTGGAAGTCTGCTGAGGAGGATGACCTCAACAGCCAGGGTTCTGCTGCTTCTCAGATAGCCGAGCAGAACGGCGCGTGGGCCAAAACAGGTACGGGGGACAGCGAAGGTAGTTTGGAGAGCACTGGATGCCATGAGGACAGAGCGGCTGCGGACGGACAGAATCGAGAGAGAAGGAAAGTTGACCAGCACGCGCTACTCCAAAGCATAGTGAACAGAACTGACTTAGATCCACGTGTCCTCTCCAACTCTGGTTGGGGACAGACTCCAATCAAACAGAACACTGCCTGGGATACCGATACATCCCCGCGGGGTGAAAGGAAAACTGACAATGGGACAGAGGCCTGGGGAGGCTCTGTGACACAGGCTTCCAGCTCAGGGGGATGTGTGGATAGACCTAGCCCTAGTAATAATGATACCTCATCTGTGTCAGGGTGGGGAGATCCAAAGTCTGCTACAAGGTGGGGAAACTCCAAAGGGTCAAACAGCCAAGGGGGGTGGGAAGAGGATTCTGCTGCTACAGTAGTGGTCAAGAGCAATCAATCGTGGGGAAGTGGCAAAGAGGAAAAGTCGTCCTGGAGTGACACGCAGAAGATGAAACAGGGATGGGCAGACGGACAGAAGGCCAGCCAGGGTTGGGGAGCTTCTGCCGGTGATAGCTGGGGCGAAAATTCCAGAAGTAACCATTGGGGTGAGGCCAAGAAATCCAGTTCCGGAGGTAGCGACAGTGACAGATCAGTATCTGGTTGGAATGAGCCAGGTAAATCAAACTCTGTTACTTGGGGAGGGAATAACACCACCCCAAGTAACGCTTCAGGATGGGATGAACCTTCAAAGCCTAGTCAGAACCAGGGCTGGGGAGACCCTCCTAAATCCAATCAGCCTCAGGGCTGGGGGGATTCGTCAAAGCCAATCAATTCTCCCGAATGGAACAAACAAGATGTTGGCTCTTGGGGAGCACCGTCTGCCACAAACAAACCCCCTGGCTCGGGCTGGCTGGGCGGACCGATGCCAGCACCAGCGAAGGAGGAAGAGCCCACTGGCTGGGAGGAGCCGTCCCCTGAATCAATCCGCCGTAAGATGGAAATTGATGATGGAACTTCTGCTTGGGGTGACCCAAGCAAATACAACTACAAAAATGTGAATATGTGGAATAAAAATGTCCCAACCAGTAGCAGCAGTTCAGACCAGCAAGCACAGGTACATCAGCAGCTACTGTCTTCAAGTGCCATGGCTAGCAAGGAGAGCAGTTCGGGTTCCGGTAAGGCTTGGTTTTGTGCAAAGTTGTGTTTTCCATTAACTGTAAACCCATTCTTTTATTCTTGCTCCATGTAACGACTGTAGTTTCAAAGTGGAGGGTGCCAGTGAAGTACCATTCTTATTACTACAACAAGAAGTACAGGGGTGCTGCTAGACGTCGGATATTGTTATGCAGATTGGAAGATCCAGTCTAGTTTTAAATAGTGTGAATGGTAAAGACTGTAGGCAGCTCTATCTGGATTCTGGGGTGTGGGAACAACACTCAGAAAATCCTTCAAACAGTATTAGAGGAATGAAAGTATTTTTCTTTATTTGATTCTAAACCAGTAAAACTTAATGTTGCCAAAAAGACCCCCAAAACCAAGTGTGGAGCTGCTGCAGGAGAGAACGCAGGGCGGTGGGTTTATGTGGGCTCCAGCTCAGACTCTCTGACCCTGTCATTCTGGGAGCAGTGGATGCCGAGACCTGCGGGAGAGCTCGCGAGCTCTCTCAGCTGCGCAGGGGAGCAGCTCGTAGTCACTTAACACCGTAGACATTCCTATTACCAAAACGTGATTCTTTACCTATGAAACTCCTATTTTTGTCAGTTTATTTTTTATGGAAGAGCTCACGGTTGTAGTAATTCCACTCATACAGAAATGTAAAGGTGGACTAATGCGCCTTTTAACTGCGTGTTGTGGATCTAGAAAAGGCGAAACGCTTGAGTCTCTTTAGGTAGCTTTTAAAATCCTGTTCAGAAACATGCCACTAACTCCTGCTGCTTTACAAAGGTTGGGGAGAGCCTTCCACTCCAGCCACCACAGTAGATAACGGAACTTCAGCGTGGGGTAAACCCATGGATACTGGTACTAGCTGGGGAGAACCCATCAGCGATGCAGCAGGCACCTCTGGCTGGGGAAACGCTTCTCTTGGTCAACAGGCCTCAAATAAACCCGGTGAGTGCTTCCTACGTCGCCTTCGACTAACGGGCTCTGAGAGGGGCGAAATACCACTCGGAGCTTTACCTGTATGAGGGCTTTTTTGTCTTGCAGTAAACATCTGCCTTAAGGACCCTCGGTTGCTACCGAAACGTTAACATGCTGGATTTTTTTCCCCGACCAGGGCCTAAATCTATGCAAGACAGTTGGTGTGGAGATGATATGCCCTTGACAGGCAGTCGTCAGACCAGCTGGGAGGAAGAGGAGGATGTGGAGATTGGAATGTGGAACAGCAGTTCCTCACAAGAAGCTAACCCCTCTTTAAATTGGCCCCCGTATATGAAAAAAATGCCCACGAAGGTAAGGAGGAGGTTGAGGCGGGGTTCTTGCGCTGCTGTCGTCTCTCAGGGTTAAGCCAGGACTGAGCGGCACGTGGTTCAGCTTGGGAGTATCACAGGAGTGCCTTTCTGTTTTTAAGGGAATAATGAAAGGTGGAAATAAGCAAGATGACGCATGGATCAATCCATTCATTAAGCAATTCACAAATCTCAGTTTTTCAGTAAGTATTTACCTGCCTTTACTGCCTTCCTGGGGCGCCGGTTGTAATGCACAGATTAAAATGCTTAATTGCCTAGTGTTCCTTGCATGGTGGTGTTCTTTGCATCTGTCTCCCCACTGTCACCTGTCCCTCTTTGTTGCATCCTCGTTACACAAAGACCCGCCCAGTGATGGAAGGTGGTGCTGTAAACACTGCCCAGACGCTCATCCCGAATCTGCTGTGTCCCTGAACGTCGCGCGCACACTTGGGTGAAGGTGCCCCTTTCTAATTGGGTAACAACTACAAGGAGAAAATGCTTTAAAATAGCATCTGAGCTGTCTTGATTTCTTTTTTCTTGTAGGTTTGCATTGAAATGCTGCATACGAATCTCTTTGCTTTTGTTTTTTAAAATAGTATTATTAAATAATTATGGTTCGTTTTGTCGCTTCAGAGAGAATCGCCAGAAGAAACCATACAGAGCAATAAGATGGACATGTCTGGAGGTGAGAACAGGACATCCCTGCTGGGCTTATTGCTTTCCTTTCCCTTCTCTCTTAGTTTATATCCTTCTGTAAATTGCTTTTTAAAAACTACTTCTAACACATACAGTTACAGCTATACATCGCTAAATGTTTCCCTAAGAAAAGGAATAGCCCTGCAGAGCAGGGAAGGTGTGGCTGTGAGAAATGTTACACACCTGACTCAGCGGGGGGCTGCTGTAATACTGCCCCTAAATCAGAGGTTGAGCTGACGGGAAGGAGCGTTTCAGGGCTGTGGCAGGTTGGTTTCGTGGTGCCTCCGGGGTACCTTCGCCAAGAATACACAGGGGTGTTCCCAATATCACGCTCGCTCCTTGTGGGTCATTCTGGGAAACACAATTTCAGTTCTGAGCACTGAACTGAGGCCGAACGGTTACTTTAGAAACGCTTAAACCGGAGTGTGAATGGCTTTGGAGCAGTTATGTGTTTATTTGACTCCACTGACTGGGTTTGCCCTAGCAAATCAGAAACGTGGTTCTTCAGTATGTTAATACCAGTGTACTAGAACGATAGACTATTTCACGAGAAGTAATGGCAGCAGCGTAGTTTTTATGGTAGTTGCACCCTTAATTCTGGTTTAAAATGGACTGTTTTCACTTTTGGGCCCATATCTTCACATTTGGGCTCGTAGCCTGTCGCGTAACGAAATTGTTCTTTGACTTTTAGATTTTAATATTAATGGCAAACCTCCTTGAATGGTTTTTTAATTTGAATTAAAAGCATCTCCTTGGGAAGTGATTCTCTCGCGCTGCATGCAAGGAAGCATTGAGTGGACTCTTCACTGCTGCTTATGTTTTGGTCTTCCAGCTTGCCTAGTGGAGTTAGAGACGCAAGATAACTTAAAATTTGCTTTCAGTAAACACACATACTTTCGATTTGTGGGTTTGATTTGGTATTTTTTTTTTAGCTAAATAGTCTTTTTGCTAACCGGATCGAATTAAAGAGCCTCTGAAATAGTACACAAATGCCGACATGCGTGCGATTTCAGAGACCCTTGAATCCCCCGGGGTGTGGAGATCCTACTTCAAAGCCAAGCCGCTGGTGGTTGCTGCTGCAAAGAGAAGTGGCACTCACAACTGGAAACTCGAGTTTGAACAACTGGGCTTGCTTGGTTTTAATGGAAACCGAGAGCGCTCTCTGAGAAGCCCAGCAGAGTCTGCGGGCGCTTGGCCGACACCAGGTTTTGCTGGTAGCCGTCGAATCGTAGCGTTCCCTTTCCCTTCTCGGTAAAGCCCAGAGAGGTGAACACTAAACTGATGTTTCCTTTTGTTGGTCTGGAGCTTGAGAGCAGTTTTAGTTCAGCCCTTGATAAGCACAAACCGTTCGTAGCCTGTCTGGAAAAGGGGGTGGTCTTCCGTTGGGTGCTGTACATCTCCCGCCTTCCCCAGGGTTACTGCAAGAGAAGCGAATGGAGATGGATAAGCACGGCCTCGGTGTTGGAGATTACAATCGTGTGGTTGGAAAAGGCCCTGGTTCTCGTCCTCAGATTTCCAAAGAGTCTTCCATGGATCGCGGTCCTTACTTCGATAAGGTTAGTAGCTGCCTACTGGCGGGCACTTGGGTACGTCACGTTCAAAGCAGTTAGCTGTGCTCCGTAGCCCCCGCGGGGAGCAGTGGTAGGCCTTTCTTGTTAATCCGTGAGATAAGTTTTGTTCTCTTTAACTTACTGATGTATAATACTGAGCACTTTCTGCAGCCCAGTTGCAGTGCAAATGACTAACCTGATCTCTTTTGTTTTCTGCCTGTTTCCTGCTGGTGCTGGACTGTCATGTGACTCTTCCCTTCTGTTCCCGGCAATGGTTTCTCCCTTCTGCTTGCTTGCTGGCTGGTTGTTGCGCATCGGTTTGTCTGTCCCATCAGGATGGCATTGTAGCAGACGAGTCCCAAAACATGCAGTTTATGTCCAATCAAAACATGAAGCTTCCCCCTTCAAATAATGCACTACCTAACCAAGCCCTTGGCTCCCTAGCAGGGCTGGGTATGCAAAACTTGAATTCTGTTAGACAGGTAAGGCTGCCTGCATATCCTTGGCATGTTACTTGACAGCATTTAATACTTTTTGATACAACATCCTAGCTGTGTATGTGATTGATAAGTGTTTAAGTGCTAATTGGAATGTGTAGGGGTGGGAGAAGCGGCAGCGGGGGTTTATTGGCACTAACTGTCCCTCTTTTCCCCAGAATGGCAATCCCAGTATGTTTGGTGTTGGTAATATAGCAGCACAGCCCAGGAGCATGCAGCAGCCTCCAGCACAACCTCTTAATTCATCTCAGCCTAATCCACGTGCTCAAGTGCCTCCTCCATTACTCTCCCCTCAGGTAATCGAGTGAACATTCTGTGGATAAACTGGCAAAATGCCACCTCAGAAAACTGTGGTTTGGTTGTTGGTGTTGCTGGTGAATAGTTGAGAACATGTTTGGCTTGAGGAGTATTTCAGTATCGAGGCAGCTGTTGACCAGAGGGGATGGTATCCTACGGCGGGTGGAACTAAGCATCGTTACTGTCAGTCACTCTCAAACTGGCCTGTTTTGCAGGTTCCAGTATCATTACTGAAGTATGCACCAAACAACGGTGGCCTGAGCCCACTTTTTGGCCCACAACAGGTAGCCATGTTGAATCAACTGTCCCAGTTAAACCAGCTTTCTCAGATCTCCCAGTTACAGGTAAGCCAACAAAACTAGTCGCCCTGTGTTCTGTTTGAAAAGTCTAAGTAGAGACTTGACGTCAAGCTGTAAACTGTTCTTAAAAAACCCACCACAAAACACTGTCTCCTAGCGGTTGTTGGCTCAGCAGCAAAAAGCGCAGAATCAAAGAAGCATGCCTTCTGGTGGTCGTCAACAGCAGGAGCAGCAGGTAAATAAACACGTTTATTATTAACTTCTCAAGCTGTCCTTAGAAGCTGTGCTTTGTCCTGAGCCGCATTTCTTGTCCTAAACTGTACTCGAGTGCGCGAGAGCGACCGGGGCTGTGGGAAGCTTGGAAGGAGTGACTTAGCTTGCTGCTGGGGTGCGCTGGGCTGAGACGCACAGACCCCAGCAGCGTGTGTCCTTGACTTTCTCTGAAGGTGGGAAAGCTTTTGCCTATTTATATTGTAACTGCTCTCTTTTTTTAAGGGTCGATCTCTTAGTATGCAGCAACAGATGATGCAACAGTCCCGTCAGCTTGATCCAAACCTGTTAATGAAGCAGCAAACTCCTCCCTCTCAACAGCAGTCACTCCATCAACCCTCCATGAAGTCCTTCCTTGAGAATGTCATACCCCACGCTACTCCTGAGCTGCCAAAAGGGCCGTCGCCAATAAATGCGTTCAGCAGCTTCCCTATAGGTGGGTGTCCGTACTCGATGCGTTTGTGATGCAGCCGCTCCTTCTTCTTTTCACGTTGCCCGCCTCCTCCGGACAACAGTGATCGGAATCTGTTAGCACTTAGGAGCTTAGTGGGAGTAGTAATTCTTTGTGGGGCTTACCCACTTACTTTGTTCACCAAAGAGCTTTTTTCACAAGTACTCCCATTCCCAGAATTGACTGTATTTCACTGCAAAATGCTTTACATTCTTAAAGAACTGTCTCCTTTTATTTCTTTCTTATCCTCCGGGTCCCAAGGATGGTAAAAGTCCTTCTGCAGTTACAATTCCCGGAGCTAAAGGAGAGGCCAGACAGAATCCGTTGATGTGGTCTCATTGCGTTGGATTTTTAAAGGTTTTTCAATTAAGCTGAAATTGCATAGGTAGAACAAAATGCTAATTTCCTTTTTAGTGGTTTTGTCCAGGAAAGAAAGCTTTTAGCTCTGCGTTTTTAAAGAATGGTTGTCTCGTTTCAGGCAAAACGTCTGAACACTTACAAATACAAACATCTCCTGTTTCTTTCTCCCTACCTTTCCAGGCTTCTGTCCAATTTCTACTTCAGAAATTCCAGGCTTGTATATTTTCTCCTTACTTTAGGTCCCTTTTTAATGCTATCGTACCACAACTGTACACCATTCGCCTCTCCTTCCTTATCCCTATTTTTTTCCCTGCCTCTCCAGTTTGCTTTTCTTCTACGTTATCCTAATCTGGTCATTTCTGCTGGGCTGGTTTCCTTTGCATTCCCACTGCCCTTTGTAGAGCAGTTTAACAGCGTGCTGCTGAAACCCTTGCGCTTGTAGGCGGGGCGTTGTGGAGCCAGGGCTCGGTGCAGGCCATGCTCTTGCGCTGCATGTGGCACGCTGGAACTCTGCTTGTGGCCAGGCTGCTGCTTCAGAGTCGCTGCTGCTGGTTGGCGTCAGGATCTGAGTACTGCTTCCACTCCAAGGGCAAGGCCTGAAAATGAGGTGTGTTTAGTTAACAGAGGCACTGTGTAGGGCATAGTGAAAGGAATCTTTAACTTTCTTACCAAACTTCACTCTGAGCAACGGCATCCTGCCTACCTTAGGTGCCTTTCTGTGTCCTTTCTGGAGTTGAATTGTTGTGTACTGTTGTGCCGTAGCTGCTTTCTCACCCCAACCCTTGCCACATTTCAGCAAGCTGCGGTATGCGGGTGCCTTTCTGTGTCCTTTCTGGAGCTGGATTGTTGTGTACTGTTGTGCAGTAGCTGCTTTCTCACCCCAACCCTCGCCACGTTTCAGCAAGCTGCGGTATGCATAGGATTGCCTGGAGATCCCCTTCAGCCTGCTGCAGCATGCGTAAGAATTCTGTGGGATCCCTCTGGAGTAGTACTGTGTCGTGATGTAAGCAAGTGGAGCCACGCTTAGCCCACAGATAAAACTCAAGGGTACAGACGGGGGGTTGCTGGAATCACTTCACCAGCAGTGATGTAAGCAAGTGGAGCCACGCTCAGCCCGCAGATAAAACTCGAGGGTACAGATGGGGGGTTGCTGGAATCACTTCACCCTTGAGTGAAACTGAGCCAAGAGGAGCATTGGTAGGACGCTCGGGGTGCACGGAGTGTAGTAGCATAGTGTGTGAGGAGGAGCGGAACTTGCCCAGGGTGTCTTCAGGAAGAGCTTGCAGGTACGTTACTTAACTCCATGTCCAACATCAGGATCTGGAGCCCCGCAGGCAGAGTGGGGAGGCCGGCGTTGCATTCCGGGGAACGGAACGTGTCGAGGTTCGCGAGGTGTTAGTTCAGCAGCAGCAGAGACTGGGGGCAGGTGAGGGGGGTGCTCCTCGCCAGGTGACCCCTGCTGCAGGCACACCCCGAGTGATTTAAAGTATCAAGTATTCCTAATCTTAGAAATACCTTTTCCTGCCAGGTAGTGAATGTAAAGTCTTCCACAGTTGGATATGCTAAGTTACTTCTGGGAGGACAATCAAAGTACCAATTGTGTCCAGGGACTGATGTCCATCCCTCGGTCCGCAGATTCACAGCTGGAGCTGCGGACGTAGGGCTCTGCCTGCCAGGGGCCAGCACGAACCTTACAGGCCACGTGCGCCTCTTGGCCAGTTGTCATCTTCCCAGCCCTGTAGAGGCCTGTCTTGCTCAGGCTGCTGTGGAATTCGGAGAAAGGGTGTTGTTGTGCAGAGGTTACTGCTCTGACAACAGCAGGATGCCCGGGGGAGAGGTGTCAGCAACTGGGTTGATTGGATTCTCCCTTTCTTCTGTTCCAGTTAGTGGTTATATTTCTTAAAACGCAACTGTCCTGTTACGAGGCACTTTGGGACTTTGCCAGGGGCTGCTTTTCTGGCACCAGCCTCTGCTCCTGCCCCTAAGAAAAAAGCAAAAACCCAACCACCAAACAGACAAAAACCAAACCAGCTCCTGCGTGGCAGTGGGTGTCGGCTGAGGAACAACATCAAGCCCTGCTTTCCAGCGCTGAATGAAGGTGTTTCTGGTAGAGGTTTTCTGTGTCCCCTGTGTCTCTCTGGCCCCAAGTTGAGGTGTCAAGGTAGTTTATTTTCAGAAACGAGGTCAGTAGATCTGAAGGGCTGGAAACGTAACCCGGTGGTGGAGGGTTAAGGATTCTCGCAAACCTGGAAAGGGAGCAGGCGTGCCAGGGTCAAAAGCGTGGCACATTGCTCAAACCCAGCATAGCTGGTTCTGACAGGTATTCGGGCTGATTTGGGTTGGCATCAGCTGGATCCCCTGGCAGACAAATGATTTGAAATGCCAAGGATGGCTTGGAACAGGTGAAGGCGAGTTGTGCGTTTTGTCTTGCCGCTGTTCTAATGCTCAGCGTGAACCGGATAAACGAAGGAGGAGATGGCAGCACTGGTGCACTTCCATGCCAAGTGCTCCTGTGCCCGTGCTGGAGTGGTTCAGGAGCTGGCGAGGTGTCCTGTTAACTGCCCAAACCAGGACGGGAACGAGGTGGCAACTGCAGAGGCCAGGAGGTGCTGTCTGCTGAAGAGGGAGGAGCACAGACACCCTCCTCTTACAACTGAGCGTAGCTCTTCGGAGAGCAGTAAGTCCGTCCGCTTCCAACACGTGAGATCAGTTGTGCTGGACTGCTATTAGAAATGTAAACATCTAAAAAATTTTTAGTTTCTCTGACTCCCCTGAGGGCTTCTTCCCCTGTCATTTCTGCATGAAGACGTCAGCCAAGAGCGTCAGAGTGCTTTGCATTGCTTAGCTCCCCTCCTGCCTGTAGTAAGTTCACTGTATTAAGCCCTAGAATGTTTCTCAAAACCAGAGACTTGGAAGCATGAAACAGCCATGGTAATATGCTCCTACATGTTTATTAGGACACGGTGGTAATTAGCAGAAGAAAAGCACTGCGCGTGTACTTCATAAGCTGTGTGTGTTTTCAGGAATGAACTCAAACTTGAATGTAAACATGGATATGAGCAGTATTAAAGAGCCACAGTCCCGCCTGAGGAAATGGACTACAGTAGACAGCATTTCTGTGAACACCTCCTTAGAGCAGAACTCCAGCAAACATGGTACGTTAACCGGGGCACCGGGTGGCCTTTGACGGCTCATCCTGGGTGTAACGCGGGTTTGCTGTGCGTAGGTCTGCAGCTGTAACGCTGAGTTGTCGTGTTGCCTGTGCCGAACTCGCTGTGTGTCCCGTAGCGCAGCCCCTAGCTTTCTGCAACGGTTTACATTCAGGAGTGACCTCGGGAGGAGGTTTGGGAGAAACGTCGTGCCTTTTTGACCAGACTTTTCTGTGACTGTGGCTACCAGCTTCGCCTTCATCTAGACTGGAATGCTTCCTCTGTATTTAAACCAAAAACCTTTAGACTTCTCAGCTTGCTTTCCCTCCACCCTGCTGGCCTCAGGTGATTTTTGGAGGTTTAACTCTGCATTTTGAGTTACAGGTTTTGGCTGTGAACGGGGACATTTGCATTATAAAAGGGGGACAGCTTAGGAGGAGACTAGAGGGGCTGGGCTTTGGTTGCTTCATATTTTATCCCAGTGATCAGGATCCATGTGACATTTCAACTGTTTCAGTCACTTGAAATCCCATCCTGTTAAAAACTGGGTCTGTAGCACAGAGGGTTTGTGTCTAGAGGTCGTTGTAGGATGTCTCCAGTCTCCTGCTCCTGTTCAGCCCTCGGATTGTGAGGAAATTTTTGGAGTTGTCAGTTGTTTTACCGTGAAGTGACTGGCAGCCTTAAGCATCTAGTGCAGATACCCTGCTGGTGTGCTGGTGAACCAGCTGCTGGTGACACAGAGTGGGGTTGCCTCAGCTGTGGAGGATGCTTTCGGAATCATCTTGGGGATTTCTGAACGCCGTGTTGCCTCAAGTCACTCGTAAAAGTCAGTCGTTCCCTCAGCGCAGGAGTCTCTGGCTTTGCTGGCTAATAGCTGGTAAAGGTCTCCTCACAGGGCTTGTGCAGAATTGGGTAGATCTTTCCGCGCTTTCCCTCCTTGCTTTGCCTCCAGAGACTTCTTATCTGTTATATGCTTCCCAGGAATATGGGTCCAGTTGACACTTTGCAGTAGCTAAAAATCCTTCAGATTTTGCTCTTCCAAGAGCCCTCCCATCACAGAATATATTCGCTACCCCCCTTACACAGGAGGGGTCTCGGAATGCTCTTTACCTCTTCAACTAGTATTTTACCTGAGTTCAAGTTTACCATTTTAGTGGAATCATTTCATGGGAGATCATCCTTACAGCTTTCTCCTGAACTCTTCAGAGACGGTTCATTTTGGATTAGATCCTCCTGTGGGACTTTCTGCATCTCCTGACATCATGAGGGGACCGTATGCTGCGATGCGTTGTAGAATGCTTTGCAAGGGCATCTTTTTATGTATTTGTGTATATAAAATCAGCTGTGAAAAATGACAGCTTCTGTTTTTTTTTTTAATTAGGTGCTATTTCAAGTGGTTTTAGACTGGAAGAGTCTCCATTTGTTCCATACGACTTTATGAACAGCAGTAATTCTCCAGCCAGTCCTCCTGGATCTATAGGGGACGGCTGGCCCCGTGCCAAATCGCCTAACGGCTCTAGCAGTGTTAACTGGCCGCCAGGTAGGGACCACCCGCTCCCTGCGTGTGTCCTTCCTTCCCTCTTCCTGGGTGGTTGCATGTGAGTGGGCAGGGAAACGGGCAGGGAGAGCATTTAGGGTGTGGTGTTAGGAGATTGAAATGGAGAGCGATTTCGTTGGCCAAAGAGAAGTGTATCGCCCTGCCTGGTGAGGCAGGCCCAGAAAAACGAGAATTGAATGTTCAGCCTGGAGAAGAGAAGGCTCCGGGGAGACCTTAGAGCACCTTCCAGTGCCTGAAGGGGCTACAAGGAAGCTGGGGGGGACTTTTTCCGAGGGCAGGGAGTGACAGGACAAGGGGTAACAAGTTTAAACTGAAAGTGGGGAGGTTTAGATTAGATATCAGGAAGAAATTCCTCCTGGAGAGGGTGGTGAGGCACTGGGACAGGTTGCCCAGAGAAGCTGTGGATGCCCCATCCCTGAGAGTGTCCAAGGCCAGGCTGGAGGAGGCTGGGAGCAACCTGGTCTGGTGGAAGGTGTCCCTGCCCGTGGCAGGGAGTTGGAACTGGATGGGCTTTAAGGGTCCTTCCCACCCAAACCATTCTGTGATTCTAAGTGAATAAAGTGAATACTAAATTAAGTAGATTAAATGCTTAATGACTGAAGATGCAAGAGATGTATTGCTTAGACAGCTATTTCCTCTGGGTCTGGGGGAAATCAAAATAAGCTGCTTTTCTGAATCTCTGTTCCTAGAGTTTCGTCCTGGCGAGCCATGGAAAGGTTATCCAAACATCGACCCAGAAACTGACCCTTACGTCACTCCTGGCAGTGTCATAAACAATCTCTCAATTAATACTGTGCGGGAAGTTGACCACCTCAGGGACAGGAACAGTGGTAAGTCCAAATGCCAGCCTTTCCCGTTTAGTGCACCAGTTCCTGCGGTCACACGCAGACACTGTTGACTCGGGGATGGGTTTGCTACTGGCTCAACTCCCTCTTGATCTCGTGTTGTGGATTTCACAGCTGAAAAGCTCACCCTTGGCTCAAGCACTGCTGCTTGCTGCAACGCAACAGATATTCCAGGAATGTGGGTAGGGTGAGGAACACTGCTGCTCCGCGTTCTGATGTCATTGTGTGCAGACAGGCAGAGTGTTTGACAGCGGGAAAGCAGAACCTGGTAATCCAGGCACTGCAGTAATGGAGCTGCATCCAGCTCTGGGCCCCCAACAGCACAAGGACACAGAGCTATTGGAGCGAGTCCAGAGGAGGCCACGGAGATGCTCCGAGGGCTGGAGCCCCTCTGCCATGGGGACAGGCTGGGAGAGTTGGGGGGTTCAGCCTGGAGAAGGGAAGGCTCCGGGGAGACCGTAGAGCCCCTTCCAGTGGCTGGGGGCGGCTACAAGAAAGCTGGAGGGAGGCTTTTCCCAAGGTCAGGGAGTGACAGGACAAGGGGTGATGGGTTTAAATGGAATGAGGGAGATGGAGATGGGACATCAGGAAGGAATTCTTCCCACAGAGGGTGGGGAGGCACTGGGACAGGTTCCCAGAGAAGCTGTGGGTGCCCCATCCCTGGAAGTGTCCCAGGCCAGGCTGGATGAGGCTTGGAGCAACCTGGTCTGGGGGAAGGAGCCCTGCCCATGGCAGGGGGGGGGACTGGGGGGGCTTTAAGGTCCCTTCACACCCAAACCCTTCTGTGGTTCCATGGTTCTATGAGCTACTTTGCTTGCAGCGAGCGCAGGGTGCTTCCACCACGTGCCCTTGGATCAGGGATGAGGACTGGGAAGTCGGGGAGGTCCCTCATCTGCGCAGACGTGTTCCGTCTGGACTGCAAGTCACGCCTTTTGCTTTTACTGCGTTTGGGCTTCACCGTGCTGCGACTGACTTCTGCTTCTGTTCCAGGGTCATCCTCATCTTTGAACACCACGCTGCCTTCAACTAGTGCCTGGTCATCCATTCGTGCCTCCAACTACAATGTTTCCCTCAGCAGTACAGCACAAAGCACTTCAGGTGATGTCTGCTTAGGTTGCTCCGGGCCAGTATCACTGCCCTCTCTGTGCTCTGGGGGACGCTCGGTGTCAGTACAAGTGGCCCTGAGGTCTCGGAGCTGTTTGGGTTTTGCTCTGATGAGCAGCTTCTCTCTGTAGCGAGGTGACGGTTCCGGCAGCGCGGTGACTGTGGGTGTCTCTGTGTCTTTCAGTAGCCAGAAACAGTGATTCCAAATCAACGTGGTCTCCTGGATCAGTCACTAACACCTCTCTGGCTCATGAGCTGTGGAAGGTCCCTTTGCCACCTAAAAGCATCACTGCTCCGTCCCGCCCACCCCCAGGGCTAACAGGCCAGAAACCACCGCTGTCCACGTGGGATAACTCCCTCCGTTTGGGTGGAGGATGGGGAAATTCTGATGCCAGATATACCCCTGGTAAGGATCTCTCTTGGGGTGCCGGGGGGGGTGTTTTGGCTCATCGCCAGGCCGGGCACTCTCCTGTGCGTCAGTGGACAATCCACCAGCCAACTTCCGGGCCATCTGTCTTGCCAGAACCAAAGCTGGTCCGTGGAGCCCCGTTGCGGCAGGCCTTCTGCTGGATAAAACCCGGGGAGGGCAGGGTGTTGCATGCGGGGTGACAGGGTGGCACTGACGGGCTTTTGTCCTGGGTAGGAACTATCTCTCCCCGCGCTCCACGAGTCCGACAGCGGAGCGGCTCGACGCAGCTGCCTGTTCTCCCTTCTCCTGCCGCGGGTCAGGAGCCCTCGGGCCGGCTTCCAACCGGCCTGAGCTTGCCACAGGGGTCAAAACCAGTGTCTTTGTGTTTCTGCTTCAGTTACCATTATCTGACAGCAGTGTAGCTGCTTGTGACCAGTTACACGATCCGAACGCTTCGGAAAGTAAATCAACGTTACGCAAAGTAAGTCAAGCGGTCAGACAGCGACGTTTAGTGCTGTGTGCCCCCAGAGTAGCCGTGTGTGGTTGTAAGTCTGGAGGAGACGAGCATCGCCTGCGTGTTTCTTGTTTGTGAGTGTCCTGTCGGCTGCCACGCAGCCTCTGGTGTCCAGCCTGGCAGGGCACGGACTCCTGTTTTCCCTCGCTTAGGTTCAAGCTGGGGTGAGAGCAGCTCAGGGAGAATAACAAATTGGCTTGTTCTGAAGAACCTTACACCTCAGGTAAGGCCGGAGCGGGCGGCGGCGCGTACGGACCGGCCGCTTCTG